AGCAGGGATTGTTGTCAGGGAAAACCTATACACAGAGTCGATGCAATGTGCGAATCATAGTCAGATTAGTTATCAAAAAGGATGAGTGCAACAAAGGATCGAAACGCAATCAGTTGGCCTGCTTGAATATCAGGGCTACCTGTTCCTCTCATCTAGATATTTCTTCAAGTTATCTGTTTTTTCTTGTTTGTTTTAACACACTATTATGTCTATTAAGCTCACAAGCTATTCAGGCGCGTTTATGAAAAGTTTACAATCTTTCGCTGTACGGATTACAAAAAGGTACAACAGCGACATCATGGTGGTTTGCAATGTGCATTGAAACGAATGAACATTATTCAGATGTCGATTATCGAACTCCTAACATCTAACTGGCCATCACTCAATATTTATCGTCAGGATCGATCAAGATATAAGTAAAGGAAACTTGTTGAAATACTTTATGCTGAGAATTCAATATTGTACCAAAAATATAATGTTGAATAAAGCTTATAATAATATCAATATAATCCAAGCTCCAGTGTCTTCATTTAAACTGATATTCATACTCTTATTGCTGCTGTCATCTTCAAAACCTCTTTCGCATGTTGTTTTACTCATTTTTAAGTACTGTCCACCCTGGGTTAGTGTCTCGTTTATTTTGCCCAAGGCACTTGAAAGGTCAACCCATTTCCTCATCATTCAGCACCACCAATAAATTTATGATGAATTGTCAGTTTCGAAACCATGAGTACCATTTCCACTTCGTGGCTCCCAACCACTATTGGTTTTTTCATTGTTTGCCTTCAACTCAGATTCATACTCAGATTTGTATAGTAAGGACAGAAGGCCTACGAACTATGTTATTCCTTTCCTAGTATGCTTCTGTGAGTGTCCAGTCTTCTCTTGAGAGAGTCGATTGTAGGTGCGGACACCACTGCTTCGGGAAGTAGGTTCCAAGTATTGATGAAAACCTGTATGTCACTGGTATTTTGTTCGTTCTTGGCTTTTCTACTCGCGTGCTATGTCCTCTGAGATGTCCCGATCTAGTGGGAAGAAAAAGAGAGAATAACTTAGGTCCAAAATCATTTCTCAATATTCCGTACATCAAAATTAGATCTCCCCTTAATCTGCGATAGAACAGAGTAAAGAGATCTGGTTTTTCAAGCCGCTCTGTGTATGGTGAACTATGGAGTTCTGGAATTGCACGGGTATCTGCCCTCTGTACTTTTTCTAGGATATCCGAGTCACCTTTTAAGCAGGGTATTGCAGCCTGAACGCAGTTCTGAAGCTTAGTTCTCACCAAGGATGTGTATACTTTGGTGAACATAGTATTATCTAACTTAGTGACCTCCCGGCAATGGGCCGTCGTCTTAAGATCACGACTCACCTTCACCCCAAGACCCTTATGAGACCGAAGCACTGGTAGTTGCACATCCCCTATGTTATACCTATTAACATTTGAGTCCCCAAAGTTCATGTAGACACACTTTGGCGCGCTTATAGGCATCAGCCACTCCTTAGACCAGTTAATTATATTGTTTAAGTCTGTCTAAAGAGCAAAAGAGTCTGTGTCTTCAGTTATTACACGCCAGATCATAACATCGCGATCGTATAATAACATTGGAGACTGTACTATACTTGGAAGGTCATTAACATACATTATAAAAAGTAAAGGACCCAGGACGGAACCTTGAGGTACTCCACTAAGTACTTGTCTCCAGATCGAGCACTTGAAATTTATTCTTACCTTCTGTCTACGATCTACTGGGAAATCTTTAATCCATTTTAAAAGAGGTCGAGCAATATCAAGGTTTTCCAACTTCAATAGTAGTCTATTAGTTGGCATCTTGTCATAAGCCTTACTGACGTCTATGTAGACAACATCCACTGAGTTTCCTCTGTCTAGCGCCTTTATCCGAAATTCCCTTGCTATAAAGAGGTTTGTTGTGCAAGATAGACCCTTTCTAAAACCACGTTGTTCTATGTTTAACAAGTTATTGGTTTCCATAAAAGCCTTTATGGTCCGTTTGACTATTCTTTTCAATATTGTAGTTACAACACTGATGAGGCCTACAGATCTGTAGTTCGATGGAACTTGCCTTGGTCCTGTTTTATGTATGGAAGTGGCCATTGCGTCCTTCCAGTCCATAGGTAACACACCTTGATCAAGTGACATATTGAATATTACACTCAGTAGGGCCGCGATATATTTTGCAATATGTCTCAAGATTTTTGGGTGTAGTTCACATAGTCCTGTTGTCTTTTCCACGTTTAAGGTGCTGAGAGCCTTAAGCACATCGTCTTGATCGAAGTCCACGGTGAGCAGGAGGTTTATTGACTCTTTATTTTGGTCTGATTCTGTCTAAAGGAGGTTCCTGAGTGAAAACTGCCCCAAAATAGTCAGCCATAGCATCTGCTTTTTCCTGATCTTCCTCTATCACTTCAGGTCTTCTCCCTTCTTTAATTGAATTGGGAATCCAGTGATGCATCCTTGTTCTGTAGTTTATGAACGAGAATATTCTCTTGTGGTGCTTGAGTGTAGATTGTGCCAACTGCATTTCATATTTTCTTTGAGCTTCCCGAATTTTTGTTATACGCCTGTTTCTTACCAATCTGTAGCGCTCCATCGTACCAGCTGTGTCAAGGCGGATAGCGACATCCCAACATTTCGTCTTTTGTCTTAGTAAACGTCCAATATCCCAGCCTATCCAGGGATGGCCGTGTTTTTTCTTCTTTGGGTCTGTCCAGGATATGTATGGTTACTCGATTGTATAACTGCCTGAAATACATCCATGCCTCTTGTACTGATGCCCTTGAGTCAATTTCCCAGTTTTCATCCGGCGCTGAGGAGTTGATGGCCTCCATATCTGCCTTCCATATGTTGGGATGAGCCGGCGCAACTGTTTGTCAGGCAATATCAGCCATGAATTTGAATAAGATGACTGCGTGGTTACTTCTCCCTAGTGGTAAGAGGAAAGTCCTTTGACCAACGTCATCACCGTGAATGAGAACTAAATCTAAAAGAGAAGAGTTTCTTAAGTCATATCATGTGGGAGTTCTAATGTAATGAAATAAAGCTAATCCAATCGAGGTGTCTAACAGTCTGCAATCGATTGACGTTATCGGTGACCTTACTTCTAAGTTAACTCAGTTTATATATGGTGCTTTGAAGTCGCCTACTACAAGGCTTTTATCCTTGTTACACCAGGACTTAAATTTATTTAGGAGGAAATCATCTACAACACATTCTGGACTGCGATATACTACAACTAATTCAATATCTTGCCGTCTACATTTCAGCCTACATCGCATCAGTTCACATGTCCCTGAAACATGTGCCACTGTCTCAGCTGCTCTTACGGTTAGGGTACTTTTCGTGTACAGGATAACCCCGCCTCCCCTACGACTTAATCTACCAATCCCACTGGATAAAAAACCGGTCAGCTGAATTTCATTATCTAATACTTCTGACGTTAACCGAGTTTCTCAGACAGCAATAACATCCGGTTTTTCTTTTGTCCACTATTGACTTAAGCTTTACTATCTTATTTAGTAGGCTGCGAGCATTTGTGTAGCATACCTTTAAGTCTGTGAAGAACTTCCCCTTACCACCCAGAGTGGTTTGGGGATCGTTTTGCTCCGAACTTTTGCAATTTGAAAACCCTTAAGAACGAGGTTTCTTTCGCCGTTTCGGAGACGCTTATTTATTTCCACTTCTGCAGCTCGTCTCTTAATACGATCAGCTAGACTGAGATCCTCACGGACATATATTCCGGATCCAGTCAGTTTACGTGAGTCACCTAGAACGATGACGGTGTTATCCGGGTCTTCAATTTCCACTGAAGGTGTATGATTTCCAATGTCAATGTCAATATCAAGCTGCACTTCACTCCTCGTTCATGTTAACAGTGTTTTTACTGTTCCATCAATCACAATCGGGTGTTTAACGGGTCCGGTAGCAGCACTTACTACACTGACACATTCTTCATTGTCAGTGCTCGTGGTGTCAGGACAACCACCATCGTTTTTCTTACAGGCCAAAGCCAATAGGCTCATAGCCTCCTGGATTAGTAACTTCTTATTTGTAAAGCGAACCATACAAAGGCAATGCGATTTAGGCTTCGAACATCTCCTGTATGCCGTAGGACTCAGACGTGTAGACATCTTATGGTACCACTTTTCACATTCATCGCACTGCATTCCATCATCAACGGGGGACAAGCAGTTCGGTTGCCTACATTTATAAGTCTTACAAACCATTGAAATTTCATTTAAAAGGTTTAAAACACACTATGATGACAATGTGAACACGAGTGTCAGTCAATGAGTAAGCAAGAAAGGTACTACAGGACAAAGTTTGGCAAAAATTTCAAACCTTAACCAAAGTTTTTTAGTTAAAGTAGACTAAGAATGCTTTGTGTTGCAATAAATACACAAAACAAGGTTAATCACAACTAGTACAAAGAACACGTCCCTTTTTGAAACGACAACAAATCACTTCAGTAGACAATATTTGGGCACCAGTTTTGTATGGTCCTATATTAACCAGTGTACCGTCTGTAATAAAAGCGAAACTGAAAGTAACACAAGCATCTTTTACTTATACAGCCAACCGATCGACTATGGTCTAACTTTGATCGATTCTTGACCACAGTGAAACCCAACTATCTCAACAACCCCAAGGTGACAATAATCCTCTTGTGCTCTGTATGAAAACCTAGGAGCATAGAACTCAAGGCTTAGATTTGAATAGTTGAAAAGATCGAAGATAGGAAACTCACCCAAAGACTAAAATAACAGTCGCTACATTCTCAGTGGTGAAATGTATTTGCAATCGAAGCCCACCAAAACAAGCAACTGGTGTCCTTTGATGATAAGTCCACATACAATGGGCGAATCTCCTATACTATTATATGAACTCAGTGTAAGTATTTGCATTTCTGCGTTTCTTAGAACGTTGAAGGTTATTCAGGTCAAGGTCACAACACATATCTGATATTTTGACAAAGTCGATAGTAATGCTATTCCGGGGTTTGACCTCAATAATCTTGGTAGTTGAACTGTAGTTTAGTAACACTATTCTAGGCTAACAAAACAGGATTTGTGTCTCTCACTAAACATGCTAAGCAGTTTCATCTCGTAAGTGACATTTAGTACTGTATTACTTAACAATTATCCAATCTTTCTGTTTTCCCAATATTAATTTACAAACTTATAAGTTTACATACACGGTCAGATTTATTCCTCGTATATTTCACTCCTGTCAGTTTGCACACCGTAGGTCACGGCAACTGTAACGATCGAATCTCCCTAATTTGGGGAAATTTTTCTTTTTTGGTGAAATTCTGGGGAAGCCGCTGCATAGAGTTCTGGTGTATTTCTGAGTTAATGGCACAAAACCACCAAAATTTCCCCTAAACTTCGGGGAAAACCACAAAACCGGCAGATCAATGGTTAGTAAACTTTGGCTTTTAAAAGGTACCATCGTAAACGTTCGATACTGAGGTGCTTCCATTTCGTCTCCTGGTTTCCTTAAAAAGAACGGTTTTAGTTCACATATCGTGTTCTGTTTACCTAGCTATCGTTATAACATTGGGAATCCGGCTCATGCATATTCTGTACTTCAACATGTAGATGTGTAATTGTGATGTTGTACTAAGTTATTGTTTTAAACATTTCTTCATAGTAGCAAAATAAGTCATGGTATTTTGACCGTTTTACTGTTGTTTTTGGTCTATTTTCACATGTAGGTATCAATGACTCATATATATGGTCCTGTTTTAAGTCGTTTTTAAAACGGAACGGTTTAGCTTATCAGTAGTCGGTTGTTTTGTAAACTATTTGAGTTGTAGCCATTTCAACTTTTGAATCGTTATCTTCAACCTTATCGATGAGTCATGGGCTAACTTACCAGTTTCTAAGGTAAAAAAAAGCTGAGACTTCAGTGTCTTAATTTCTAAGTGAGCGTATGCTCTACATATCCTTTTAAGAGTTCCAAAAGCTTTAGCAGCTACTGGTCTCTAGTGTGTAGTGATTGTTTGGCACTGACCGCTTTTTTAATTTCGATTGCTTTGAACACAAATTTTGGGATGAAGGGCACCAAATATTCATGTACCACGCAATAAGAATGAGGTTGTAAAGAGGTAAAAAAAGGAAGTGTCATAAAAAAGGGAAAATAAGTAAAAATTAGCGTATGAGAATGAAATAGTAATAATGGGAAAAGCAGTTCATATAAAATAAAACTAACCAGAAAGAATTCCTTTATTCAAAGAAGTTACTTTTACTTATATGAAGAAAGTTACAGCAGTATCGCCACTGGCTTTTATTCTGAACCATTATTTATTATTTATTTATTTTAACACAGGTATAGGTACAGGGAGGCATCAAGTACATATGCGCCGCCCGAATCTCAATTGATTTGTGTGAGGGCTGTGATACTGCCCGGGTGCCCAAACCGAAGCAGGTGGTTTTCTTAGGGGGCCACATCCCGAGCCTTCGACCTGAACGTTTGACCCACAAGGCAGTGGAGCATCGTGAGGAGATGCAGTTGCATGGTAGCCGGTGACCAACGATTGGTTCATACGCCATTTGTTCCTTCAGGATACTGGAGCCCATGTGCACCATTGATTTGGGATCCGGTTAAAGCGCCGGACATTAGCTTTTCGTCCTCTCATTTTCGTAAACAACACCCCCGCCACGAGAAGGCAGTGAGTAGGACTTCCCTGGCAGAGGCTATATACGCGTGGTCATGTGAAAGCATTTCGAGAGGGAGAGCGGACTCTCCCCACTCTCGGCCATACCAGGGCATTTGGGGGCATTCTGAACCATGTTTTATAACGTCTCGAGCCATTGTGTTGCACCATCTTTAGGCCCTCAACTAGAGTCGTGAAGGACCAACAGAAACCAGTTCTGTATAGCTTTCTTTCATGCCATGTCGTGCTCTGTCCACATCGCTTTTCCCAACCAGCCACAATGTTGGAATATAATGCACGACGTGGAATGCTCTGGGACGACACTCGTAGAACATATCCAAGCCACTGAAGTCGATGTTTAAAGATAATGACACCAATTGAATTATCGTTGCTGTGCCCGAACACACGATGCCGAACCTCTGCATTACTAACATGGTGTTGTCACTGAATACCAGCAATCCTTCGAAGACAACGATGATCATACACAGAGTCGTCTAACATCCTCAACTCACAAAATTAAAGCAGAACTGTTCTCACCGACGCGTTGCAGATCCGACCTTTTACAACCAGACTGACCACGAAGGCGCCAAAGATGGCCCAGATTGGCATAAGCCGCTCTGGCTTTCACTATGCGTGCATTGATCTCATCAATCACGCCACCACCAGCACTTATACAGCTACCCAGATACACAAAATTCTCGACTACTTCCATCAGCTCACCATCCAAAGTGAGTACAGGATTAGAATCCTGCCAGTCTCGTAGAAGTACTTTGCACTTCGGAGGTGCAAAGCACATACCATACCTACGGACACTGATTGCCAACTGATTAAGTGCGGATTGCTTGGCTTGGGTATTATCACACAGTAAGACAATATCATCCACACACTCAATGTCGAGAAGTCTTTCCCCAGGTAACTGATTCACACTACCATTACTTACATGCATCAGAGCTGTTTGCAGAATGTCATCTATGGCAAAGTTGAAGAGGAATGGTGAGATTGGGCAACCCTGCCTAACTCCACTGCTCGAATGGGATAATGGAGAGAGGTGGTTGTATGCCCTCACTCCAGCTAAGGTCCTTGTAAATGTGGCTTGTAGCCTTTTAATAAACTTCTCAAGCACACCCTTCATCAGTAGGCAGTCTCAGAGAACAATCCTGTTCAACGAATCGAAGGTGCTAGCTCAAAACCAGCAGAAGTGACTTCTTCCACTGATAAACCCCTTTTGTTACGTGGAAATCCACTACTGTTGGATTTATTATGCTACTTCTAAATTTAAATTGAGTCCTTTTTTCACAATGTTTGGGCGCCAAGTTAGTGTGAGACATTCAAGAGGAAGAATGTATTTGTAAAATCTCAGCGAAAGAATTTGAAGTGAATCCAATTTTTCGCCTGGCAATCTGGTCCAAGCTTTTCTATGATCACTCTTGTGTTCTCTAACTGCAAATAAGACAGCCCTTCATCAGCGATGTCAAGCGCTCTCCATCTATTCTTTCACTACATTTCACTCGGTCTTTTGTAATGATTGGAGGGGGAGCAGTTCTGTATTCTTCATATTATTAAGACCTTTTCGTATCTTCGATTATCAGTCCTGTTAGTTTGCTTATCAGTGGAAGCAGTCTCGTTGTAGTCTTATTTTTATTTCGGTCGGTTCTATTTGTATGAGCTATATACGTCTTGGGAACACGTATAAGTGACATGGGACGGGTGTTTGAGCAGCAGGTTTGCACATTCGGATGTATTTTGTCTTGCTTAACCTTTTAAAGGCTTCGGATGGGAAATCTGTCCAAAAGTTAGGGTACTAGCCTCTAGCCTTACCACAGTATATGCAGCTTTCCCTCATGGAAAACAACACGGTTGTTGATAGCACGTTTTCGTAACCATCGCTCAAAAAATAGTTATTTGTGGACTAAAAATTGTTGGGAAACTACATCAATTTATAATTAAACTATCACATTAATGAGTAAAAGATGAAAACTATCACAAAATCTGGTATTCCGGATTTTTTAACTGAATTCAATGAGAGCAAAAACAGTAGGCTTTAATACTTAAAAAGGGTCAAGATTGGAAAAAGTAATCAAAAAAAGAAGAAATACCAGTCTTTTTTAAAATAGGGATTTTGAGCTGAAAACCAGAGTTCTGAGATGGTCGATAAGATTTATTGTTCGAGTGGATAATTTTGGTGTGGTTTCATTCTTTAAACTGGATGGTTTAGTTGTAAAGCATTCTTTGTCTTTTTGGACATCGTCATGATATTGTTTTTAATTTCTTGTACAATTCAGGGTACTTCATCAAATGCTGAGGAAAAGAAAACTGTTACCCTCCTACCTGGTGATGGGGTGTGGCCAGAACTCTTCGTTTGTGTAAAGTCAGTTTTCAAAGAATTCAATGTACCTGTTCAGTTTGAGGAGGTGAAATTTGGGTAAGAATTAGATTAGTATCTCGTTTGATCCCCCCCCCCGCAGATTTAACGATAATTTAGATCCAAATGGTGGTCTCTATAATGCTGTCAACTCTGTTACTAAAAACAAGGTTGGTTTAAAAGGAATTGTCCGTACACCTATCGAAACCCAGGGATCTAGTGCACTTAATCTAAGAATGAGGTATGTCTTTGTTTCTGATCAAGTAACTCTATATTTTTACGGTTCATCCGTTTTTCTACTGTGTTTACAATATTGAAGTTTGTGCCTCTATCGTGAACAGTAAATTGACAACAGCTTGTTTTGGACTGAACCAATAAGCTTTTTTTTCATTATCATATTTTATCTAGAGTAATTGTCTGTACTAGTAGCCAAAAGATGAAAAATATTTGATCTTATTCCTCAAAGCGTTTTTAGACTAAAAGGTGCCTTAAGATAGACTCGACTATTTGTTTTATTACTTGGTATGAAAATTTGTTAAATAAATGGGGATTGTATATAAAGTGGTTTCCTTCCATACTTGTCCATTTTGAGAATCATTTTACTAAATTCAAGATAGCTGAAGCTTTCTCGTAACTTTTGAGTACATTATTTATGTACTATTTGTAGATAGTTTTATGTCAGTTCTGTCACCAAGTATATATTATAACCTTGTCTTACTGATACTTATTATTTCTGAAGAATCCCTTGTAGTTTAATAAAAGTACCAAATTTGCATTATCATCAAGCACCAAGGTAAATTTGCTGGTCCTTCAAAGCTTGTCGTTTTCGATTCGTAAGTTACTTGTTCTTTTTGTTGGTAAAGTTCCTGAGGTTTAATTAACGTCAGTAAGGCATAATATTGTCATTTTGAGGTGATGGATGACATTTTTAGCTCAGGATGAGGATTTTGGAGTTATTGTGATCCCTGAAAGCTCCACAAGTAATCCGTCTAGCTTTTGTCGTTTGCTAAGGTATCTAGGTACCTAATGTCAATGAATAAATATTTGATGAAATGTCGCCATATATCAGAGAATAATCATAGCTATTACTAGTCTTGTTAGTTTACTGCTCACAATAACATTTCAGTTGGTTTAAAATTTATGTTTATATCTTGGAGAATCACAAACTAGTTATAGAAATACTTTTCATTGTGACCACACGAGTACCATAGTTTAATAAAATACACGATACTTTAGTCACTGTTTGTGCGTTAATTCAAAAAGTTGCTTTTCAGGCATTTGGTAGTAGTTAATTAAGCAAAAGTAACATATGAAAGTGAAAATAAGCTTTTTTTCTTCATTTTCTGTACCAAGCAATTATTGAGAAAAATCACTGTTTTAAAGTGGTTTGTTGTCTGTACTAACTACACATGATAATAAAAAATGGGAAGAAAATGTTTTCGTGTTTTCAAATGTTCTGAAAATTTTTCAGTTTCATCCATAAATATTTGTACATTTCATATGATGCATTTTTACAAAGCATTCTTTTCGAGAGTGCCTACCTTGGTGATAAATCGTATTTTTCACTGTTTTGTTTACTTGTTGTAGACGAGCTTTGGATCTGTTTGCCAACGTTGTTCATATTCGTACGTTGAAAGGGATCCCAAGCTTTCATCAAAATCTTGATTTAGTCATCATACGTGAACAGTTAGAAGGAGAGTATTCATCACTGGAACATGAATCTGTTAAGGGAGTAATTGAGTCCTTAAAAATTATAACGCGAAGTAACTCTGAACGGATTGCAAAATTTGCATTTGATTATGCTGTCCGCAATAAGCGTAGGAAAGTTACTGTTGTTCATAAAGCCAACATTATGTAAGTTTTCGCTTATATTTATGTATTTACTTCCAAATCTTTTGACAGTAATAAGTGGTCAGTGTTCAAAATATGCACTTATACATTGTCTTTTGTAAGCGATATACAAAGATAAGGTGATGTGTTATATTTTAAAATATATTACTATTATTATTCGTTATAAACAATTGGAAGATGTATCTTAATACGAACTGAATCTACGCGTCTTGTAGAGGTCGATGAGTAATCCCCACAACAATTTAACAATTATTATCTTCCCTTCAATCGAAGAGAGGAAACGGGAATTCAATTAAGCCTTGATATTTCAAGAAGTCAAAGTTATGGTACAAAAATTCTGTTGATGTAGCAATAGCTGTGACCTTGCGACTTATAACAAAAATAAAAAACTAAAAGCGAGCGTAGGTAATTGGACAATAGCAAATGTTAGTGGGGTAATTTGAGCGGAAAAAAGCCACCGAGGACCTCCTTGTTTATCATAACTGAAACTTATAAAAATAGATCATTTGGGGCCTTCCTTAGCCAGTTAGTCGTAACGTAGTATCTGGCACGTACGTGGATCAGTTCAAGTTGCCATAGCCCATTAGGACAGGGAGATGAAATTATCACGCCAAATCCCAGATTAGTAGAGGTAGTAATAGTCTCAGTGGTAGTAGAAAAGATTAGACGTCGAAGATACAATTTAAGAAAACATATATCTGTGGAAAGAAGTTATGAAGAATTTAGAATCTCAGAGTTTCAGGGAATCAGTTCAACTGACCTTCAGCCACACTTCAGTTTCCCACGATCTCTAGTCTACCTGAATGGCAAGTTAATGTAAGTCCTCCGACTCTTTACGAAGTTGAGAAAGCTATAGGAAATCTGAAGCGTAGGAGAGCAGCAGGCCTTGATAGGTTTACCGCTGAGATTTTTAAGGATGGCGGTCCAGTATCAGCAGCGAGATTGACTGAGTTCTGGGAACTGGACGTAATCCCATCTGACTGGTCTCAATCACTGATTGTGCCAGTCTATAAAAAAGGACAAAAGTCCTCTTGTGATAATCACAGAGGAATTAGTTTAACTAATATAGTGTCTAAAATATTAGCTTCAATATTACTTCGACGCCTAACCAAAGCTCGTGAAGAGCAGACTAGAGGAAACCAGGCTGGTTTTCGACCTGGACGTGGTTGTATAGACCAAATATTCACACTACGTCAGGTCCTAGAACATAGACACACATTCAGATGACCCACAATGGTAGTATTCCTCGACTTTAAGGCGGCATTTGACTCTGTCGATCGTGAGGTTCTATGGCAGTGTTTGTCACTGGAAGGAGTACCAAAGAAGTATATTAACCATATAAAGGCTATCTACTGAAGCACAACTGGTCGAGAGATTCTTTTATTGACTTAGAATATGCCGATGACATAGTTCTATTTGGTGAAGACGCTGACAAAATGCAGAGTCTGCTGACCACTCTAAGCAACAATGCAGGCATGTTCCGCATGCAATCGGGTTGCACCGCCACTCAAACTAGTGATAGGGACTGAAGTAGTCGAGCGTGTCGACCGCTTCACTCATATTGGAAGTCTCATGAGCTCTTGTGGTCTGTTGTGTGACGAAATCTCAGCACGGATACAGAAGGCTCGAATAGCTTTTGCCAACTTGCGTCATTTGTGGCGTGGGTGAGATATCCACCTATCAACCAAATGACGTGTTTACTGCGCAGCAGCTCGTTCCGTCCTACTTTATGGCAGTGAAACATGGCCGGTAAGAGTAGAGGATATTCGTAGGTTACTAGTATTCGACCATAGATGTCTTCGAAACATTGCTCGTATATCCTGGGACCACCGAGTAAGTAACTCAGTTGTTAGGAAACGGGTACTAGGTAAGGATGGCGAATCAATTGATGGAGTAGTGAAACTTGATCAGTTGAGATGGCTGGGACATGTGTTACGTATGCGCGACCACTGACTACCCCGACGTGCGATGTTTTATGGTGTAGGAGTAGGTTGGAAGAAAATTAGAGGCGGCCAGACCAAAACATGGCACAAATCCATGAAGTCACTGACAAGTGGACTGAGTCATGTTGGTATGCATAGACTACCTGGTTGGGGTCTGCGAGACGATAGTAAGCGATGGTTGGAGATGTTGAATGACATGGCTCAAAATCGTTTGCAATGGCGCAGGTGCATCCACTCTGTGTGTTCTCTCAAACTCTAATCTTCTGAACTCTTCATGTCCTTTATTTTCTTTCCAAATCTATTCCACTGGATTATACTCCTTAAATAACGCCATCAAACCCTAATGTTCCCTATTACTACTTATACTTTCACTACCTCTACGACTACGTGATTTGAATTGACAACTGCATCTCTGTGCTAATGTGGTATGGCAACTCGAACTGATGTACGTACGTACGTACGAAGTTCTACGCTGTTACTGACTGACTGTTTCTGGGGATACAAAGATTGGATGCATTTGGGCCATTACAAACGATTTTAGCCACGTCCTTCTAAGTCTCTTACTACTGGTTACGATTGTCATGCAGACCCCAACCAGATTGTTTACATCTATTAGTATGGCTCAATTCAGTTGTCATTGACTTCATGGACAGATAGCATGTTTTGGTTTGGCTGCCCCTATTTTTCTTCCAATCTACTGCTACACCAAACAACATGCTTCATCGAGGTTAGGGAGTGGTTAGGCGTATGTAACTCACGTCCCAACCGCTTGAGTTGGTGAAGATATACTACGTCACCAATCAATTTGCTATCATTATGTAGTGGATGTCACTCACAAGATTGTTTGTAAATATGTTGTGGAACGTGGCCTCAAGGTTGTCGGACGGAGTTAAGAGTTTTACTACAACGAAAGCACGGCGTAGGCGAAACCCGTGTAGACCAAATGAGAAGATAGTTGAGATTGAAGAACACCGAAAAATGCTATGAATATGTACCCTCCTACAATAAATATAGATTTCCTCTGTCTATTTTTCTTTTTTACACTTATGTATTACCTTATTCTTAACCCAGGTATTGCTTCCTCACTGGTCCCAAAATATACGGCCAATATTTCGAAGGCATCTATGATCGAATACTAGTAACTTACGGCTTTGCCGTGTTCTTAGTAACCACGTCTCATATCCATAAAGTAGAATGGTGCGAACTATTGCGTAGTAAACTCATTCTTTGGTTGGGAGTGACATTTCACTTACTCCACAAGTGATACAAGTTTGGAAAAGCTAGCAGAGCCTTCTGAACCCTTACCAAGATAAGTAAATCGGTCGATACGTTCAACTACTTTACTACTTTGATTCAGGCGCTGACAAGTTCTTATCAGTAAGTCAAGCTGATACCTAAATTTGTTTTATCAGACACTAGCCAGTCTATACTCATACTGACAATCGAAACAAAAGGTGGACTGCTAACTCTAAGTCCTCACAATTAGACAAGACGGACACAAGAACACGTAGACTTTATCAAAAGGGTTTATAAAACTTGGTATTTAATTCAGCAGTCCACACAGATTTAAGGATTATGAGAGAAAGAATAGCCTATGTATTTATTTAGGTGATTGTATGCTGTAAGGACATATATGCACTTTTTTGTTAGCTAAAATCTTACGGTGGGCTCCACTGGCAAGGTAGCGGTTTCTTAAGGGATTCATCTGTTTCAGTCTGTTGGCCTGAAGGGTTTTACAGTTATTAAACATAGAGATCTAAAGTGAGGCAAACGGGGTTTAGTGGATAGCATAACTTCGTGATATACATTTTTAAACGTACTTGTATTTTTAATTTCAATATTTGTCTAAATAAAAGTTCATTAAATATATTGCTTCTGTATTTTCAATATTCTTTTGTTAATTTTTTTATTCAGGAAATTAAGTGATGGTTTATTTCTCGAAACTTGTCAAAATATGGCCAAACTTTATCCACATATTCAGTTTAATTCAATGATTATAGATAATTGTTGTATGCAACTGGTTAGTAATCCTGAACAATTTGATGTGATGGTTATGCCAAACCTATATGGTAACATTGTTGATAATCTTGCTGCTGGTTTGGTAGGTGGTGCCGGGGTTGTACCGGGTGTATCATATAGTCATGAAGTTAGTTTGAGTTTCAAGTACTTATTCATTTTATGTGATTGGTTGATGCTAGTCCCTATGGTAGTTCGAAATATATTTCGAAGTCGTCATCTACATTTTATACTTTTAAATGGTGATGATATGGTATTCTGAAAGTGAATTCGCACTTCCTTTAGGACTTGTATACAATTAATTCAGCAACATAATTGTAATTTGTTAACCTAAGTTTATCTGGTATCTGTGGAACCCTTTGGGTTCTGCTAAATTATTTTCAACTATCAAGATATTTTGTTAACCAAGGAGGTGTATTGCACGTAAAGATAATTATTATGAGCTCGAACCTAACAGTTTATATTTGCTGAGGATTTTGTGGAGTATGTAACTTTTCTAGAGTAAAATTAAGATTTAGTTTAACTATATATGAAATAGTGCGTATACAAGAAAACGTATTTACTCAAATAAGACATCTGTATGTACTCAAGGTTTGCTATTTGATTGATTAACATTTATTATTAGACTTTATTAATAAGTATGCTCATAGCAGAAGAGCGATGACAGCGTATTCATAGTTCGTCCAATGAACTGTACATTTTATATAAAGATATTAGTTAGTAGTCATTACAATTTGTTTATTCACCTGTTGAACCATTGAATATGGAATTCACTTTGTACGGGCGTATAGGAAATCAAATATTAGAATAGAATAGTTATAATATTTATATTATATTCTTTATATTATTTCGAAAATGAAGCCAATACTGCGTAGTATTTTAATGGATTTCTTTGAATAATATTAATTATAAATTCAAAACTTAGAGTATAACAATATTCGAATATTTTAAGTGACTTATTTCATTTTAAAATCTTATTCCTCTTTGTTTTTTTTTTCGTTTTCTTTTAGTTTGCTGTTTTTGAACCGGGCACTAGACATTCGTTCAATTTGGCATCAGGCAAAAATATGGCTAATCCAACAGCGATTCTATTAGCCAGCTCAAATTTATTACGTCATATCAATTTAGAAAGTTATGCCAATAAAATTGAAACAGCTTTACTTAAAATTATTAAATCTAAAAAAGCATTAACTTCTGATATCGGTGGTTGTTCATCTACAACTCAATTTACAGAAGCTATTATAGAACAAGCTCATATTTCTTAATTATATCATACGAAGACTACTCTAACTTTTAACTTAAACAGTTATATATTAGACATATACTTTTTGTATAGTAGTCATAAATTTGAATCTAATTTTAACTTCTGACTAGTATTCTCGTTCCTTTGTATTGTGTATCAAACAGTCAGTAAATTATTACTGTTATTAATGATAGTAGAATAAGTCACTGACCCATGTTAAAATGTTATGCTTGTAAATAACTAAGCATTTACAGATTTTTTATTATTTTCAAGACAGTATCGTTATTCTATTGAACTGAAACTAATCTTTCTAAATTTAAGTTGGATCGTTCTCACTCATAGTTGATCCGAAATCAATAGCCTTTCATTCCCCGTTATTTTAAAGCTTGTTTCATATATGTATTTCCTTTTACAAATGGATATACTTGCAATAGTTTGAGAAATTGTGTTTATGATTATTAAATTCATGAATTTGTGGGAGATTTAATGCTAAACATAGGGTGTCAGTTCAGCTAATCGGTGGTAGAAGGACCAGGAAGCTCCGAATAAATGGTCCCAATAAGTTATTTTCATGTAAATTAAATCTTTGAAGTCCATTACTAGCTAGTTACTCCTTTTATTGATAGCACTTCCAGAATTTAATGGCAACCCGTGGTTAATTTGTTGTAAGAGCTTGTAATAAAGATAATTGTTCACTAAAGGAATTGGAGAATTTTAATCTATATCTAGCAAAATGTTTGCACTAGTAAACGATCATCTAGTGATTGATTTGTGACATGATTACCACATTATTAGAAGAAAACAAGTATTTTGATGTATCGCTTTTGAGGCCAACTGTATATAAAATCCCACGAACTGTATAGCTACTTAAATGTATTTAAATCTTACTGATGTAAATATATTGAATAGGCGAAATCTGATGAAAGCATATCGTTATCAATTATTGAAGGGTTAGTAGTGAAGCTGGCATACAGGACAGATGGGATTGTTTCATTCATAGTATTCCGTCACACTTTCTAAACAAATACTAGAAGACTTTAAGTGTGAAGTCAGTTGTGTAGGGGGTGGATGATGAATTATAAATTACGGTTATATGTAAAAGTTTGTGTTCTGCAGGAGATATAAAGATTAATAAAAAGTGTGAGTTGAAATTGGATTCGCAAGCCCTGGTCTGTAGTTTGAGAACTGTACTTAGTAGCTTTCTTATTACTTAAAAAATGTATCTTTACAACTCACACTTTAAGATTTAAGTAAGTAGGTATAATTGGATGTCCGAGAGACATAGAACCTCGGAGAGATGTTTATCGGTCTAAGTTGTTACCTTACCATATTGACATAACAAGACGAATAGCTAGGGAGATCGAAGCAATTTTAACAGCGATAATAAGGAAGAATAAACATTGGGAATATAATTCGAAAAGACGATGTTAAAGTGTGCATGAAAAAATGTGCAAATTGAAGGTATAAAGTGAACGATTTTAAGTTGTACCATCGAAAACTTCGAATCGTTGATTGTGGCTATCACGACCACCTCAACCATGTAGCCTGCATCGACAAACAGCTATATTAAGATCTAACTTATCGATGGATCTGCACAACAAACTATTTTGAGAATAAAGATAAATCCAACTCTGAAATCAGTCCATATGTTGATATGATTTAGTATTTAGATGTGATTTCCGTCAAGTGATAACTAAATAACCATTGAACTTCTGTCGAAGCCTACTTTGGAACTCGTCAGGAATGAGCACCCACAACCCTACCTGTTATCATGTTCAGAACTTTCCGGTCTCAGTATGGACAATACATATCGATCACTGAGACCAAATCTAACGATTTACATCTTCAATTCCAGTCAACTTAGGCAGTATCACAGCCCTCACACAAATCACATGAGATTTGTGTGGCGCATATGTATTTTGTGCCTCCTTGTACCAATATCTATGTGTTCAAATAATAATAAAACTTGTGCATTGAGATCTGTAACTATTATCATCAGAGATAACTGTTACTTTCAACGTAGTTAAGTTCACTGGCTTTTCTGTATGACTTTTGGAGACCAGTCACGGACTGTCTATCAAAATCAGTTAAAATTCTGTAATTTCTTATAGTGGGAAAGCTGTATATAGTAGATTTTCACATACTATGTAAATCAGCTAAGGAGTCTGTGTTCTTCTCTATTAAGTTTTAAAGATTTGTTCTGTTAGCGATTCCATTTCGACTAAATCGTTTCAGTATTGTATTAAGTCACTTCGATTATGATACATATTTAAATGTATAAGACTAAAGCGTATTGTAAAATAAACAAAATTTTTCAAATAGAAGGTGTTTGTGCAATAATCTCACCAAATGAAATTAATCAGTTTCTAAAATTTGTATTAACTAGTACACTGACAGTAGTATGATTAATTTTTATTAACTTTTATTTAGCAAAATGAAAATTTTATGAAATAATCGCTGATATCAACTTTAGTAGTGTGTAGATTTGTAACAAATAATTTTATCTGTTAAATATTAACAAGCGGTTAAGCTAATTGTTTACTCTTATCAAAAAGTGTTTGTATTCAGTTCACTGAAAATATATTTTCCAATTTGACATTCTACTATGTATATATTTTTTATTTTACTGTGAATTAGATTCATTTTATTTTAAATATCATATACCATTACCACCATTGTTTTTATGTTGCAAACATAGTAGTGAGTGACTAGGTGATCATGGCACTATTAGTGTTGTGAATAGAACACGGGTGGGGACCATAATATGTATTTGATAGAAAAATTACAGAACTAGTTAGTAAAATCTAACAACCATATATTAAATGCTCAATTTGCAAAATGTCCATCAATTGTCTCAAATGACTCCGACTTCTTTTGTTCTTGCATTTTCATACAAATTGCCTTCTGTTTTCATTCTTTACTGTTCGGTCTTCTTGTCTCTCTGCTGCCAGACATTCTGTTCCTGATTAACATCATATACTACTTATGTCTACATAAGTAGCACACACCACATTAGTACCATAATATTCATTGAATTTGTAACGGTTCTAATCATCTCGCGGTTTATGTCTCGATTGAATTTTGATCAGTCTTTGTGAACAGTAACTTTAAGATTAAGGTGCATCCAACTGTGGAGTCCCAAATATAACGAAACTCGTATCCTAGATACCATTGCTAACCACATTTTAGGTATCCGATATTAGCTATAATATTCAGCTTCGAAACAGTAATCTGGTTGTGTTGTTTTCTCTGAAGTAGATGATTTAATTGGGACGCTTTCATCAACGTTCTGTCCAGAATCATGAGTTCCTACCTCATGCGTGGAATGGAATTTAGTTGAGTTACAAATCTTCAGCATCAATTTAAAAGGCTTCATATCTCTGAATGATGATGAGTAACACTGGACAAGCAAACCTTTAAATCTAATTATCAGTACTTGGGGTAGTAATAATAATAGCAGAGGTAATAATATAACGTTAATGTAATATGCACTGTGAAAAATTTGTTTTTAACTGGCAGTCGTAATTGGGTTCACTTATTCCCACATGTATTACTCTTCGTGATTTTACATTTGGACAAAATCTGGGTCAATAAAAATCTAGATATGACGTAGGTATGCGTTTTTATTATGAAAGCAGATTGTTGTGTTAACCACCAACAACTGGAAGATTTAATTTTTCTTCAAATATCATTTGGTAAAATCTAAAGTAACATACAACATTGTAATTTTAGTGGGTTGCTCTGACAATGCTATGTTCTCCTTGAAGATATCAGATGATTATCAATACTACTAGTCTACGGTCATTCTTTATTATTTCTGATGATGACTGTTGATAACATAGTTCAAAACACATTATCATTAAAACAATAATCATTGTACATACCATTTGTACTGAAAATATTGAACTATGAAGAGAATGTAAGTATCATAGTGAATCAAGTAAAATATGAATGAGCATTGCTTCTTTTTATCTTACTAACTGACTCGGGTTGATAATCATACTTAGAAAATGGAATGTTTGATGTGAAGGAATGTAAGGTAACAACTGATAATCATAAGGAAGCTAATTAAAGGCTGAAATATCAGGAAAAGATGAGCAGCTGAAAAAGCCATATTTTCACCAAAGAATTCATTATGATAACTGTTTATAATACAAATAATCTTTTCCAACCCAAGTTTGTGATATTTTATAGCTACATTTCAAGAAATCACAAAAGGATAACAGAAACTTTAACACGAGCAATTGGTGATCAACAAGGTATCCAAAGTTCGGAATTACTCCTCAACTAGATTAATTCATGAAAGATTTCAGTTTTTATATTTGATAAATTAGAAGCTTAAGTTTAAAAGACTTCTCATATCACGAAAACATTTTTCACAGTCTCTTTCCATTTACAGATTATGCAATTACCCGATCGCTATCACATGTTTTTACTCAATAAGTGTAGTTCAAAATCTAGTATCTGAACCTGGATATAGTTCATTGATAAAATTAAAATAGTTTGCTTAGCAACTGTGCACTAGACAATAAGAAATAGAAACCGAAGTACGAAATTCTGTCACTTGTTTTTAACAACTACCCATGCTCATACACAGTAACTACAATGGAAGATCTCGAGGACCATGTAGGTAGGGTGGAGCAGATAGAATAGCATTCAGGCATTTCATTTCAGTGAGTAAGTGACGGGGATTTGCTGCCGCGAATATAATTAGATAACCGTTTTTTTTGAGAGAGTGAGGATAAGGAAATAAACTGTTTGACCTGGGGAACCTGATATCGATCCAAAGGTGAATATAAAAACCATCATGTTAGAATCAAACATTGTTTTTAATAGCTCTATGGAGATTGATAAATGCTTGAAATGGGGAGATTAAACATGGCTTGTAAAAAGTCGGCGACATAATTATAAATAACAGTGACTTGCAAAAGAGATGGAAAGGGTAGCGGTGACAAGTAACACAATACATTTTTATAGAATCACCAAAAAGAAACCAGTTAAAATATCCATCAAGTACACATT